ACTTAGAAGACAAATTTTAAAATGGACTTTTACTGGGACAAAATTTTTGCCCTATTCAAATAGTGGATAGCCTATTGAGCTATGGTAACATTATCAAGGAGTTGCCTTCCAAGAATGAAGGCAGCTTGACTATCACCAACACAAAGATCAATACACTTCTTAAGACACACAGTCAAAATTGTAGCAATGATTTTATAAGTGACCCCACACATGCTTATTGGTTCTTAAGAGATTCAAGGTTTTCAATATTTAGGGATGAGAGTTAATAGAGTGTGATTCCGCCAGAAGCAAAAAAGCTACAAACAACAGTTCAGATATCAAATTTAATACCGGGCTAGAAACCTTGAAAAAAAATACCTCTTGTCTAGGAGCCTTGTTCTGATCGATGCTAAACAATGCTTCCTTTATTTCATTTTCTTCAACTAGTACCACTATTTCAAGGTTTGGTTCAGGAGTGATTGAATTAGGAATGAGTTGTAGTAGGTCTTCTCCCTCACTAATCCACTCATAAGTGAACAAAGTACCATAAAAAGAGCTAACACCTCTTTCAATATCAACATCAGCTTCCCATCTCTCCTCCCTATCCCCATTCAGCTTGGCCAAAGCATTTCATTTTCTCCTCTAAATAGTTAGGGCATGGAAGAATTTTGTATTTGAGTCCCCCTCTTTGAACTCTGGCTTTCTGTTTCAAGTATTCCTCTTCCTTAAGTTTTATTCTGCCAAGATCCCCTTTGAGATTCTCCTAGAGAACCCAATTCCTAGAGTTTCCTTTAGTGCTTAGGTCTTTCAATTCCATGGTGATTCTGTTCTTCTCCTTATCTTGCTCAGCTCTGAAATGACTGCTCCATTTAATGAGTGCTACTCTCGTTTCTTTGACTTTCTCCATTACTTGGAACATTGTGGTTCTAGTCATCAATTTTCCCTACCTCCTAAACACCTTTCTCTTTTAACCAACCCTTATCAAAATAGGATCTCTTCTTCTTTCTACCACCCTGACCAGGATTAGAAGTAAGTAATGGTAATCTATGGTTAGTGCACTTCTGAATAAGTTTTGAATCACAACATTTTGGTTTTCAACTAACCACTTGAATGAGGCTAAGATTTTGTATATCTTGTCATCAATAAAGCCCTCATTCCCCGTGTTGTTGGCCCAAGCAAATTGATGCCCTAACATTAAAACGGCTCCTGATTTGTCATTACCTTTTCAAATATTGGGCGATGCATAAAATCTTGTTGTGGGCGCCGTTTTGGGTCAATGGGTTGATAAAGTACTTCGTGTGATTTATTATGTTAGTTTGACTCTAATTTGACCCAACTAAATTACAGGACCACCAAAAAGTAACTTTTAGCCGTGGTCTTGTTCACTTGAAAATTTTAAATCGTACATTATGTGGTTTAAAGTGATAATACCTTCTGACCACGCGGCTTTAAAATATTTTTTGAGCAAAACTCAATCAAAACCAGGGCTCGTTAGGTTGATTTTGTTATTGTGAAAATTTGATGTGGATAGTAAGGATAACAAAGGTCCGAGAATGTTGTAGCCGATCATTTGTCTAGCATTGTACCATATGATAATTCATTATCGTTGCTTGAGCATAACGCTATTAATGATAACTTCCCGTATCAGCATGCGCTTGAGTTGACGAGTAGTCCTTGGTATGTAGACATTGTGAATTATTTATCTTGTGGAATGTTTCGGCCTAACCTTTTCTTCCCAATAGAGTAACTGTTTTGTTTGACATGTAGGAGCTACTATTGGGATGAGCCACTCCTATTTAAAATGAGAAAAGATGAGGTACTACAGAGATGTGTACCCGAGGAGGAGCAAGAGGATGTCCTTGCATTTACCACGAGTTCCATTCTGGAGGGCATTTCAGAGGCCAGAAAATTGCTTACAAAGTCCTCCAGTTAGGTTTGTTTTGGTCAACTCTCTTCAAAGATGCCCATAATTCTATTGTTCTTGCGCCTGATGCCAAAGAACTAGGAACATGGTCTCACAAATGAGATGCCCTTTGTCAATAACCTTCAACTGGAAATATTTGATGTTGGGCATTGATTTTATGAGACTATTCCGTACGTCTTTTGGTTTCGAAAATATTTTACTTGCCGTAGATTACGTGTCCAAGTGGGTCGAGGCTATCCCCACAAGGACATGTGATGCTAATGAAGTCATAAAGTTCTTGCAAGGTCATATCTTGAATAGGTTTGGTTTCCCCAGAAAATTGTGAGTGATGGGGGCGAGCACTTTTATAATATAATTTTTGAAAAGTTGATAAAAAATTATTGCATCTCACATAAGATAGCTACCCCCTATCACCCACAAACGTCGGGCTAAGAGGAGACGAGCAACAAGTAGATAAAGACTATTTTTTGAGATCTTTCTTTTAAATGAGAATCATATTTAATTGAATTGTCTTATGTTTCTATGTTTTACATATGGATATTGTGGTCCATCACGGACGAGACTGAATACCTTGTATTGGTTACTTCTACAAAATAACTAATTAGTTCACAACCTAGATGAAAATGAGCAACTCATCGTGAACGGTTGTAGTGTTGCTTGTACAATCTATCTTGGCTGATTAATTATACTAGTTCACTGTGTGCATTGAACGGATCCCAGAGAGGATACGTTTATTTTGCACTTATCGGTAAACAAACTAGACTCGGTTAAATTACTGCATACTCTTAACCCGTAAGATATAAACAGGCAAGTGCATACAATAACTGATACTTTGATTGACCAAAAAGTGAGATACATTCTGTTGGATCAATAATCTATTATTTTTTGGGTAGTGATGTTATGTGTATGGTATGTTGTTCGATTATTTACGCTTAGCGTGTACGATAGTCTGATGATGTCCCCGAAATGAGCTCAAGAAGAATTATTATATTAAATCATACAGGTGGATTAAGTTCCAACATAAACATAAATCATTGAGTGGTAATAGTCTCGACACAAGATATTAATTTATAGAAATATCAATAATTAATTAATTGACGGTCATTATATCTTAAACACGGGAAGATAAATAGAATAATTATTATCGAAGCATCACTTTGTAATTTGGGAGCCAAATGAGGAGATCGTCAGTTTTTATTTAGTGGACTGTAGAATAGTTAAGGTATGAGCATAGTGGGTGTGGCCTACAGTTACGCCCATACTTGGTAAGCCCATATTTGGCACCTCCTTAGGTTCCCTATTATAGCCTATAAATACACTCATCCCCTTATGATAAAAATCATAATTGTGGTACCTTTGTGAGTTAACCATCAGACAAACAAAAAGTGTAAGGTAATACAATAGAAGTCCCGAGGTACGTACAACTGAGATTCCTGAGCCGACCCATCAGCTACCGCCCGTCGTCTGCCGTTATGCATCGTGACCGAGCGCGGACATCGGCGACCGAGCACAGCTTGCGAAGCCCCTGTCGGGATGTCGTGCCCATCAGTGACGACCATCCGCGATGTCGAGCCCAACGGCAATGCGCCGACCCTGCGACCCGTGACGTGCCTTTGCGACCAGGTGAATCCAACGATCCCTCCAAGGACAAGACGATTTGATTCTAGTGATTGATTTAGACGATCTCCATCAACATATATCTGAAATGTCTCAGAGTCTGCAAATTTTTTAAGTTGTGAGTATTCTAACCAATCTATAGTCCGTAGTGCTTAGGCTTATTTTGTAGACTTAGATCTGTGAGTTGCATGAATTAAGACGTTCCTAATAGAATCCCAACAAGTGGTATCAGAGCACTTGGTTTAATTTGGTTTGGTCTAAAGTTTAGAATTTTAGGCTTTATGTGTTAATATGCATGAATTAATTGTGTTCAAGGAGCGTGATACAATTGTTGGATTATTATTGCATAACTCTATTTTGCAGGATTATTGTTAATCCATAGTTATGGCCTTGAATGTTTGGTTTATTTGGATGCATGTTTTTAAAGCCTCGGGATTGTTGATTGATTTTGGGTTTTGAATGCTTGTAATAAATTTATTCGCACAGTGGGACACCAGAACCTCAAGAATCCGAGCGCTCAGCTCCTTTTTTAAATTTATTTTTCGGTCTAGACGAGCATGTAAACTTTTCCATGGGTCTAGGATTCCTGTAATTTATTTTATGCACATTATTGTTGTTTGCGGACGAGCTCCAACAACCACAAAGACCGGCAGACCTCGATTCCGATGACGAAACTCGACAACCGCATGACTGCAGCTGCGCATGGCCGCACAAGGGCCGCGAATAACTTGTTGTCGCGCGTGGCCCAATGGCACTCGACCAAGCGCTGGCCGTAGCACACGTACGTGATCAAGGGGAGATGGCGCCGAAGGCCCTCATCGACCTGGCGGACGACATCATGCGTGGGGGAGATCGGCGACTCCGGTAGCGCTCAAGCTTTCGTCCCAGCTTGTCTCGAGCGCAACATCACCCGACTTTGATGGATCCGCGAGAGAAGGTCCCGCGAACCGGCAACCGCAAATGCTAGCGATGTGTTTTACGCGCAGTCCCGCGCACCTCACGTGACGTTGGAGCATCTTGCGTTTGTCGTGGGCAGACAACGCGAGGCTTAGCGACGCAACGTAGGCCTTGGCAGCGCACGTTGCTGGTGCCGAACGGCCCTCACAGCGAGCTGGAGACGCGTGCGACAAGCTCAGGGAACTCGAAATTTCCAGCCAAATCCGACGACAGCAGTTCCAGTGACGACGAAGATAGGGCGCGACAATTTCGGCAAAAGAAACTAACTTGGACAAGAAGTTTGCTACCTTAGAAATTCTTTTCTAGGGAAATGCTCCCCTACCCACAGTGGGCACAAATTAATTTGCCAACCACTTATGTGGCATGTATGGATTTGTTGGAGAAAATAATGCTTGGTGATGTATACATGCCCCATACATGCCACATAAGTGGTGGACAAATTAATTTGTGCCATTGTGGGTAGGGGAGCATTTTCCTTCTTTTCTAATAGGGACTTATATTTTCCAAAAGAAAGAGATTTGATAATTTTTTAATTGGAAAGGAACCTAAATTAGTGGCCATAATGGTGGATTTTACTTCCATGTTTTGTTATTTGCCATTAATTGTTTAGATATGCATGAGAATACTTGTTTTATTGTGGTAAATTTTTATTCATATGGTACTATGATATTAGAAAAATGCAAAATAAAATTATAATACATCAATAAATAAAAAGCACAAAGTTATTTAACATAATAAATACATTTACTAATATGCATATATAATACAAAAATTACCAATAATATTAAATTAGAATACATTAAACCAAAAAAAAAAAATGTGGAATTAAAATGTGGTGCAACATTGTTTATATATGTAGAATGGAGAGCTAATTTGTAGAGATGCTTTGGAAGAAAAAATTCTCCACAGGGAGGACATTCTTGGAGAGACTCGAAGGTTAAAATTCCGTCAAATCATTCTTTACAATCCGCTATTAATTATTTGCCTATTTTGTTTGATTCTTAATGATTTAATATGAACGCTCTTAAATTAAGGCGATGTTATTTTGCATAAGATTAAAATTTTAATAAATTGATCTTTACAATCCACTATCAACTATTTTCTAGTACAACTAGCTTTGCGTTAATGGTGTACGTACATGTATCGTTATTAGATACCCTTTAAATCTCATATAAGTGGGTCTCGAGTCCAAATATGGTTTTAACTTTTCTGGTTCATTATATGCAATAAAAGAGAGTTAAGAGAAAATTTTCAACGTGTGTATACAAATTTAAATATTCATGGAACTTTACCTTAAATCTTTTTTATTTTTAATCTTACTTGTCTTCTACGAAATTCAAAAGATAATATTTAATTAATTAAAACCAACAAGTTATCGAATAATTCCAAAATAATTATCTCGTAGTTAAAATTTCAGCAATTATGTTAAAAGCATCTTTAATGGTAGTTGGATTGTCTTCATTTTGATGCCACCTGTCATAAAAAAAAAAATCTATATGGCCTAAAAAAATTCTAAAAGTCTATCTACATGAAGTAACTCTAGACAATTGCTATTATATTGTATTATATTATTTATTTATTTTTTTCAACTAAATATAAATTTACACATGTCAATTTCTTAATCTCATTTCTCATGTTACTCAAAAATAGATAAGATACCATTGAAGTTGCTTTAAATATTTTAATATTAAGACATT